TGGGGAAGGGGCAGCGTGCCCCCCCCCCAGCAGTCAGTCCCAGCGCAGCCTGCAGCCACTGCATCTGTGCTTACTCACCCTCAGCCTCAGCACAGCATCTCCACCGGGCTCGGGGAGGACATGCTCAAGGACAATGCGTCCCCGAAACCTGCGACACATCAGGGATGCGGCAGTGGGGCTGGGGGAAGGAAGGGCTCCCCAGCAGCAGGCCCCCCCCGCCCGCACCAACACCTGCCTGGCCCACGCCAAGCCCTGCTGTGTGCAAAGGTCCAGCCTGGGCGAGCAGGGAAGGTACCGGGGTGAAACTCCCTGGGAAGGTAGGGCAGCGAGCACGGGAACGGTGGTACCTACCCCATCCCAGCACTCAGGCATGGTGAGGAACCAGGTGGACGAGGATGCGAGGGCAGGGTGGGCCGAGCACGGGGTCCTGGCGTGGGGCACAGCGGTGCAGCGGGCTGGGGCGAAGCAGAGCTCTGCACTGGCTCAGCCCCTCGCCTCGATTTATAGCGGAGCCCCAGCCCTGCGCTAAGCCCTCCCTCTCCCTTCCCCCTCGACGCGGCGCGCAGCCCCAGCAGGTTTGGCCTCCATTGCGGGTGAGTGCTGCGATGGAGCCAGCACTCAGCCATTGGCTGCTGCAGGAATTATTCATGCTCCAATTGGCCCCAAATACCCTTGTTTATGAAGAAAAAATGCCTGGCACCATGCGGTACCTGCTCCATCTTCCCTCCTTCAGCAGACCGAGACAGGCAGGGGTGCCTGGACAGGGTTGCACTAACACCCCTTGCAACACACACAGCATCGTCACAACAGAGCCCAGCAATGCTCGCCCGCACCCGTCGCACACACACACGCGGCTCCAGCCCCACGCAAACATGCAGAATCATGCTCGAGCCTCCAGCCGCCCAGACCAAGGCCCTGCAGCAACACACACGCACCAGGAAGCACACCCACGAGTGGACATGGGTACATGCTGAGCACACAGGAGAAGGATGCAGCAGGCGTGCTCCGCATATGCATGTGACCGTGCACATACAAGCACAGGAACATGTACCAACACAGACACACAGGGGCCAGGCAAAACCGTGTCCCCCCACATGTCTGTGCATGCAAACTTTAGAAAAATAAATACAATGACCCATGCTGAAGCACATGCACCCCACAGAATGCTTGCACATACCTGCACAGGGCTGGCCCCTGTGTGTCTGTGCCGGTACATGTTCCTGTGCATGTATGTGCATCGTTACATGCATATAAGGAGCACGCCTGCTGCATCCTTCTCCTGTGTGCTTAGCGTGTATGCCATGGCCATCACTCATGCCCATGGATGCACAACGACCTGCACACACGCAGAACCTTGTGCACATGTGCAGGGAGGGGCACAAGCATGTACACATGTGAACACTGCCTGGATACCTGTGTTACCTTACCCAGCAGCACAGTCATCCCGCCTGCTGTGGGATGCTGACACGCAGGGGATCTGCAGGATTTAGCCCCAACCTGGACGTTGCTGGTGACAGGTAAATAAGGCAGGAGGAAAGACAACCCAGCAGTGCCAAGGGGTCGGATCCTGTCCCTGGGCCAACACATGCTGTGTGCGCACACACACGCGTGTGTATTCCCGTGTGCACATGCGCCCAGGCAGATGGTTTCTGCCCTGATTCCAACGAGGCTTCGCGAGAGGGCGAGTCGTCTGCCTGCAGCTTGCACCCACGTATGGCCTCATGCCGCCATGGCCCCAAAACCTCCCGGCAGGCTCTGGGTGCCATCCCCCTGCACCCTGACTGTCCCTGCCCAGCCCAGCACCACTGCCTGGCTCAGCACAACCAGCACCCGAGCTGCGCCAGCACAAAACTGGGCAATCATGGATGGAGAAGGAGTCCCACGGTCCCTCCAGCACCTGCCCAAAGGGGCTGGTGAGCCACATGCCAGTGCCGGACCAGGGCAGCATCCAGTGGGGATGCACACCACAGGGATGCTCCGTGCCAGCTGGAGCCTGCCATCACCTCTGCATCATCCCCACTCCGGCAGCTTGCCATGGCTTGCTCCCACCAAGACCTGGCATGCACTGCAGCCATGGGCAGAGGGGCTCCAGCTGCCATCACCAGCACATGCACGGGTTTCCCCATCCTGTGTCCTTGGCTTCACCCAGCAGGCTTGTTCCTGTGGAGTCTCTGATGTCTAATAACAGGGCTGAGCCACTTTTCCCTGGGGATAGTCCTTTCCCTGACCTGGACTCTGATCACCCAGAGCTGGCGGGGTGTGAAGCAGTGTCCTGCAAACAAGTCAGAGCTGGGGCAACCAGGGTGTCTGGATGTGGGAGAAAGGACAGACAGACATACAGGCAGCGGGACGGCATCCACCTTGCCTCCACCAAAGAGGCTTTCCTCTGCACTGCTTTGTGTTGCAGAGAGCTCAGACCCAAGCCCGGAGAGATGCATCTCTGCTAACGAAGGACCATGTGTGAGGGGGAAGCCCAGCTCCTAGGTGGTTCCTGGCACAGGTACAAAGCCGTTCACAGGTCTGGGTGCCATTTTTGCTTTCCAAAGCCCTGCTGCCTGTGGAGCCAAAAAGCACGAGCAGACACAGCCTCCGGGAAAAAGCAAGAGATGCAGAGGGGCATGAGCAGGCAAAAAAAGACAGAAGGTGGCAAAATAGGGGGGAGAAGGGGTGGAAAAGCCGAGGTGAAGTAAGGCATGAATGCAAAAGGGCGGCACGGAGATGGGAGGGCTGAGCAATGCTGACTCCGCTTGAATGGCATTGCCACCCCATTGGCTACTAGCCCATCTGCCTGGCAGGTGGCCCAAACCTCCAGCAGGGCCAGGACACCCCAGTCCCAGGGCAGAGGCACCTCCCCTCCCTGCACCTTGGCTTATGCCAGCAGCCCCAAGGGCTTTACTTCGGCTGGCAGCGGCAGTGGGGGATCCCTGCTCCCCCCCCACTACCCTGACCAGGCCAGAGCATCTCAGCAAGGGAGCAGTGACTGGCTCTGGGGAGGAGCAGAGGGACAGTGAAGAGCTAAGCTGGGGCCTGGATTGAATTACCCCAAGGAGGTGAGCCTAGAAAATGGGGTAAGATCTCCCCAAGGCAGGGCAGGCAGGCCCCAGCCTTTGCAGGGAACCAACCCGCAAAGTGCCGGGGTGGGGGAAAGGAGGGGGTTGCGCCAGCAAAGCCTGGGAAGCTCATCCCATCCCCACGCTGAGGCTCTTCGAGGAGAACCAAGAGGGCGCAGGGCCTGGCTGGCTTGGGGAAAGCCACCTTGATCCTTGCCCAGTTCATTTTTTTAGGTACCAAGGGCATGCAGGCGCATCGCTGTGACATTTGCCATCCGGACCCACCTGGGCACCACTGGGGACATGGTTCAGCGTCACCGTGGGCCAATCCCTGAAATACCGGCATGCAAAGATTGTCCTGGGAGAGTCATTGCTCTTTAACATCCCCTGCATGCCAACCAAGACCTGTCCCAGCACAGCTGAGTGAGAGCCATACTGGTGCCCGTGGCGCTACCGGGACCTCCGGGCAGCCCGACACTGCTGCCTCCCTCTCCCTCCTCACCCTCACTTCGGAGACACCAGGAGGTTTGGTTTCCCGTGCAGTGGTCAACAGGGACCCTGAGCAAGCAGAGCAAGGAGCAGCCCCGACCCACACACCCTGCCGCTCCCGGCCCCAGCATCTTGCCAGCTTTGGAGCTGCTGGGAAGGGCGGCATTTCTTTTCCACCACTGCCATTTCTGAGTAATTTTGTGGCCTCCAAGAGGGCCACCAGAAATCTCCTGTTGTGTGAACCACAGCAGCCACTGCCCAGCATCCTGACGAAAGTCCTTGCTCCCCACCCAGCTGCACCCTGCCACCCGCGCAGGTGATGGAGACCAAGTGGGCCAGCCGCAAAATCCTGGGCACCACTTTGGGTCTGCCAAAACGGGGACCTGGGCTCCCCTGCCCCTCTCCCAGGATGAATGAAATCCAGATTTATTTTATCCTTGCAGGTGCTGCTGTTTCAGTGCCAGACCTGGCACGGCTTAGCCAGCACCACCCAAGCCGACCCTCCCAGCAGTCCCAGCCACTGGCAAAGCAACATACAACCTGAATTCGGTCACTGGTGTCTGAGGGGAGGGGGGATGCTTTGGGAGAGGGACAGGCAGCAAGCTGGGATCCAGCAGCCCCACCACCCTCCCTCCCCGTCTACCGGCATCCCGGTCTCTGCAGGGGGAGCCTGGTGCAGGATAAGCTTGGGCAGAGGTGTGAGAGTGATGAAGACCAACACGGGGGAGCCAGGCACGAGCTGAGCCCCTGCAAGCCCCGAGGCCACACCGTGGGGCTCCTCCGAAGAGGCGAAACAGACATACAAGGCAGGCAGGTGCCAGCCAGGGGAGCAGAGGGGCCCTGCTCTCTGAGAGAGGTGGGTGGTACAGGGGGCAATGCCCCAGCCCTCCAAAAAAGAAAGAGGCTTTCAAACATCCTTATGTAAGCAGGGAGCTGGCATCGCCCAGGAAACCATTGCCATGGCAATGGTAGAGGGCCTGGAAAAGCAGCTCGGCCCTCCTGAGAAGAAATTGCCTGTTTTAAAGAGGTTTTGTCCCCAGCCAGTCACCAAGTACCCGGCAGCCACATCCAAGTGCCAGCACAGAGCATGCCTGGCAGCGACCTCCCCGTCCCCTCCTGCCAGGGACCGCGATGGACGTGCAGCCCCATGCACAGACACCGACCAGGCACTGCGTCCCCATGGAAGGGGGGAACAGCAGCACCCCTGGGTCTGCTCAGCGCCCCGCAGCCTTCCCCAGCCGCAGGCTGCTGTCCCACGTTGGGACCCTGGGGTGGGGGACACCCCCCATGGCTGGTCCTACCTTCCAGTCTGTGTCCACAGTGGAGAGGAAGACATCTGAGTTCTCCTGGGGAGAGAAGGAGCCGTTAGGGACAGAGACATCCCCCCCGTGGCCCCTGACTGCCGCAGCACCCTCCTCCCACCCAACTCACAAAGCCCCCTGACACCACAAGCACCCACTCCCCAGGGCAGCAGTGGCTGCCGGGGGACACGATGCTCACACATGTGCACACATACACGCACATCTACAATACCCGCACGCATGTGCATGCACTCCCTGCACATGTGCACACACACAAGTGTGTATTAGCATGTTCTGTGCAACATCTTCACACATATACATCATCACACCAAGCCGGAACCCATGCTCACCCATGCCTGTGCATCGACACCCGCACACATCTGCACACACACATGCACTGAATACCAACACACGTGCACACGCGTGCACCCAATACCAGCACACACACCCCCCGCAAGCTGCTACTTAAGCACCCACGTCCTGGCACCCCACGTGCAGGAGCCGGAGCCAGTGCGGTCACCAGACTCACCAGCTCAGCATCCTGGCCCCGCAGCAGCGGCTTCTCCTCAGCCAAGCGCAGCTCGTGCAGCCCTGCCATGGTCATCTCCTGCAGCAGCAGCCCTGCCC